TTCAGCCAACCCCACGAGTCCCAGGAGAGAAATGGATCCTGCTTAAGAGTCCTTTTTCAGGTAGTGGGATAAAAATGCCAGATCTCTGCCTTAGAAAGCTCAGAGCAGTAGCTGGAAGTAATACTGATTTGTCCTGGGATGAAATATTTTCTGAGGAACTGCTGCAAAATTTGTATGAGAACATCTTTAGAATGAAGCCCTTTATTCTAGGTTATATTTTTTGCTTAGCAAGTATTTTCATCCACAGATTTCCCCGTCCTAATCTAGCAAAATACTTCTGCAGTATTAAGTTCTCTTCTGGGAGTTACCAAAATAAAGTACATTGTTAATATGATGCATTATTTGCTTACAAATAGAGCGATGCCAATTAAATTCTCTCCTTTAATAAGAAATTAGTAACTCTACATTGGACCCTTATTGAGGATACAGCAGCTTTTGATGTAAAGATTTTTGTCTGGTCTGATAAATTTTATTGTTATTATTATATTATTATTTATTATTATATTGCTTTGTCTGGTCCCAAAGCAGACACCAATTTTGTCTCTTGCTGTCCACTGGTACTTATAGCCTTTCACTGTCCTACTCTATACATCCTGCTATGAACTTCTATACACCTGTTATTTTATAATGTGGGTTCTCAGGTTCCTTCCTGGGCATTGAAAAATAAATAAAACAAAAATTAAAAAGGAAGGAACATGCTTAATTGTATCTGAATTTTTAAATTAATTGGCAAAGAAATCCCAAAGCAATGGTAAAATACAGCTGCCAGGGTGATGAACAAGAGTGAAAGAGAGAAAAAAAAAACAACAACTCTGAAAGAAGAGTGTGCTTTGTCAATGCCATGCAAATTTCCTTCACCACTGCAAAGCAAGAAGCATGCTCTCTTTACTGAAAAAGCAATGGCTTTATAAAGGCGGAAAAGGAACCTTCATTTACCATTTCTAGAAAAACAGAACACAGCAGACTTAAAACCAACCCAACCAGAAGTTAAGGGTTAGACAAGCTGAGTGAAACTATGGAAGACGAATAACTGAGTGAAAGCTGCCTCTCAGATGCTGACAGGGGAGACAAGGTACAGGTGTGATGTTAAATGCCTGGCTGGCTTGGACAGGGATGTTGCAAGCTCTCACTGCAGAGTCAAATGTGACCTGTGCCAGTGGTACCTCTGCAGAGTCCTTTTTGATTTTAATACGTGTTCCTAGATTGATGCAGCCTTATTGACAGCCACGTTATGGCAAATAGAACAATATGTAATTTATACATGCAGCTTACTGCCACCGGCCTCTCCATTTGGTAAGATGATTTGACAATGGCCCTGGCTGCTCCAATATATACTCACAAATACTGCAGCACACACAGGGTCTCGTTATCGGGGAGAAATCAGCAGGACAGCCATAAAACAAATACGACTCACATAAGCACACTGCTGAGGAGACTGTCTGCAATATATGCTCTGATTAATGTCTGGAATGGCAGCAGTGCAAGTTAATGCTTTCTGGAGTCTTGGATGATATGCTTGAAAACATCTTTGGGAAAGTCGTGCCCACTTTTATGACTTGACTGCAAAGTGAGCAACCCCCAAACGCTGACCTTGGATTTGACTGCAGGGTAAGTGCTGGAGGAGATTGCTAATTGGGGGAGTCCTGTGGATGCCAAGGGCAGCTCCTTGTCTTACCACCACCAGCTCTGCATCTTTTGGGGTTAAATTCCTCCCTGTTTCACAGGAGGGAATGAAGCATTTGGCCTTTCTAATGCTCACTGCTGTCTGCAAGGGATAAAACAGCCTTTGAAAAAGTTTGGAAGAACTTCTGCAAATAAACCTCACTATGACCAATGCACTTAAAATAGCTTCAATCCTGCAAGTATTAGACAGTCTCAGGCCCTGATTCTCCCTCTGAAATGCAACTAGACTATCACAAAGATGTCCTATAAAAAAAAAAGAACATAAAAGCACTGAAATAATGTAGAAACAAACACAAAGAGGCTTCTGCCCAATGCGGTGAGAGAGAAAACTATTAAATTGCATGAAAAACCTGTTGCTACCGCTTCTGCATCTGGCCAACAAAGAGGGCTAGAGAGGCCCCACTCAGTAAATACCTACTCTTGTTGGATCAAAGGGGTAAGAATGGAAGCGAGTCCTCAGGCTTTATGGACCTGATCCAGTTGGTTTTTCTACTAATTTCTGTGGGCTTTGGCTGGTGTCCAGGCAGCAAAAACAACCAGGAGCAGGGCTAGCCTTGCCTGGCAAGTGGAAGCCCTGCCAGCACCACCGAATTTTACTCTCTCTGCCCTAAAGCTGGGCTTTCTGCTCAACTCTGGAAAGCTCCACAGGCAGCAAAAGGCTTGTTGGAGCCCAGGAGGGTTTTAGCCAGACCCAGGAATGCACACAGCTGCACAAGGATGCCAAACACAGTCACTCCCAACAGCTTCCCTCAGTCCCCATCCACATTCAGCCATCCTGATGTTTGGTGGCACGGTGGTTGTGATCTCCTCCGAGCACAGGCACCAGTCACAAAGCTCTGTCTTGGCCAAGCAGCTCTGCCTGGCTCTGCTCCACTGGGGAAGGACTGAAAACAGAGCCTTCTCTGGGCTTGGTGGGAGGGGAGCCCTCAGCCTGAGAAGGGCTCAGGGGCCAGGGAGAGGAAAGCAGATAGCTTGCTCACCCTGTCGTGCTCTCATGAGGGCTGTCAGGAACACAGGAGCTCTCAGAATAAAGTTTCTGGGGCAGTTCTTCCTGTTGCTTTGCTTCCAGTAATGACTTTGTGCTTGTTTACATTAGCAAGTTGTACTACCAGTATTTTATACAACCATAGCTAAATCAGTACAACACCTGTATTGTACCCAGCGTTGCCTTAGTGTGAAGGTGAGTATAGTATTTCTGAGACCTGAAAAAGCAAGCCAGCAACATGCCAAAAGGATCCTTAGAGGAAATGGGAATGCTGTTGTATTTTCTGTCACTTCAAACTCGATAATGACCACAGACTTACTGTGAAATTGTAATTGGCTTTCTAAAAATAAGACACTGCTAGATTGTAGACAATTATACCTAGCTTACAGCACCCAAATAGGAATTTAAACCTTGGGTTTTTTTTAATCTTGCTTTTTCTCAATTTATATACTAAAGGGGAGATGGTAATATGAATTATTACTTACACAAAACAAGGGATTTCTGCCAAGCAGCCTAATTCATATGAGTACAAGATTCTGCCTCACATTTCCAATGTACAAAGACAAAAAAACTCCACAAGTTAGCAAATCCAGAGAGTAACTTCATAGAGATTGCACTTGCTCCACTTTTGGTAGAGCCTGTGCAGGCTGTGACTGCAGAATGACACCGTCTTTAAAAGGACAGAGCTCCCCAGTCCTGTCTGCTATGGTGGACAAATAGATAAAGCTCTCAGCTTTACTGAATGGTGGCAGATTTAACCCCAGGACCTTTAACTCTTTTGCTGGAGCTGGGCACCTCCACATTCTGGGCTGGAGTTTTCCAATTTGAACCTTACAGCTGACAGTATTACCAAATAGTGTTACTCTGAGAAGGGCTTTGTGACAACGTAATCATTAGTGCTTAAACCCACCCAAATATCCTGGCATTCGCTGCCAATGGAGTTAAACAGTTGAGGTTCGTGGTAGATAAGTGGTGTTGGTGATGCAGACCCCACCTCCTGTGACAAAGAGCCTTCATATATCAGAGATCCAAATTAAATTAGACTAAATCCAAATTAAACCTGATGTTTTAAGGTGCTAATGCTACCATTGCAGGAATGTGGGAAAAAATGGATTAATTAAAAAAAAAAGTTGTTATTTTGCAGCTATTACAATCAAGGCAAGGCAGCCTAGAGGAAGGAAAGGGAAAGGAGTTTCCCTGCTGTACTTGTTGGAGGCTAAAGCACAGTCTGGAGGCTCCAGCTGGCACCACGCAGGGCGTTCGCAGGGGAGCTCTGAAGTGCCCCCAGTGCTCCACTACCCCTCCACTCTCCCTGACCCACCAGCACTCTCATATCCATCCCTCAAAAACCTCAACATCCACCTCGGCCCGCCACAGCCCCCTGCCTCCCCTCCCGGCGCTCTGCTGCCCCGAGGCTCTGGGACAAGCCGGAGCAGCGACATCCCGGGCCGCTTCCAGCGGGGCCGGAGCGGCAGCGGGGCTCCGGCAGCCGCAGCTTCCCAGCGGGTTCCAGCGGCGCCTGCCGGGTCCCACCGGGCCGGGAACCCCGCGCCCCCCTCCTCGCAGGGCGCTCACTTTTGATGCGATTGCAGCTAATTAAAATTTAAAATTCAAATCAACTATCGAAAAGGTCATCTTGAAAAATCCGTCGGCATTTGGTATTTATCAGCTGGCGCGCAACTACACATAAAGCCGGGTCTGTGTGTGTGTGTGTGTGTATGTGTGTGTCTGTGTGTTGGGGGGGAAGCGCCGCGCCCCTCGCCTCATCCCCGCGGCGGGGCCGGCACCGCGGAGCTCCCGCGGCCGCGCTGCCCCGGCCCCGCGGCACGTCGGGCTGCAGCGGCCGGGCGGGCGCGCCCTGTCCGCGGCGGCGCAGCGGAGTTGGGAGCGGGACGGCGGCGCTGCCAATGCAGCGGCCGGGAGGGGAGGGCGGCAGCAGC